AGGACCTTTTTCCACGTCTTTAGGCGCATTGGGCATTTCGGACTGGGCGTATATTTTATATACCAATCGGCACTTAGTGGGTAATGTTCTCAAAATCACGCAGGCCGCCTTTATTTCCCAGGGCTACACCTGATACCCAACTGAAGACTAGATCGACCCTGGGGCTAATGTAGTTTTTTTAAAGCACTGTCAGGACTCGAACCCACGACCTTCCGATACCGAGGCGAGCGAGCGTTACCACTACACCGCGGTGACTCTTAAAACATCTACGTCTTCTAAATATATGGATGATTAAAATTAATTGTCGTTTAATTTTTAGTAAAAGAAATTATGAAAATGTGTGTCTGCTAAACAAAACAACATGAATTATACCAGATAATCCTTTTAAGGGCTCTATTTGTTTTAAAATTGCATTTGTCAACAAAAACCCTAATATTTTTAGGTCCCCGTAGATTGTGAGGCCCTAATCTCTAGCTTAGCCAGCAAATAACTAAGTCCAGCACTGTGTATGGTCAACATCATGCCAGCCTACCTTTACTTCCGAGATCATTACCCATGACCCATTTTCAATTAAACCAGTCCTGGGAAGCAAGGTGAGTTCTAAACAAAATCCAGCTCGATGAGAAGCGAACTCAATAACCTTCGAGTCAGTAGGTAACGTCTGGTCACGACATTGCCATACAGCAGAGCCGTTTAAATTACGTTTCATAACTCTGTCTGACATTTAATAAAAAAAAGTTACCTGTAAATTCTAAGACGAAACTTTAGCGTGCTTACCTTGCCCCCTACCCGTATCTCAAATATCTCACCCGATGTGATTTTTACCTAAACATTTGAATTCCCTTTAACTGCGTAATAACATTATGTTATCTATTCCCACGGCTTTTTTGTTTAATTATTTTTTTCATTTCATTCTTTGCACTCCATTACGATGTCAAACAATTGGTGAACATTATTGAGAGTTTCTATGATTGCGATGTCAAACAATTGCTTCAATTATTGAGAATTTCTATGATTACGATGTCAAACAATTGTTTCAATTATTGAGAGTTTCTATGTTTACGGTGTCAAACAATTGTTTCACTTATTGAGAGTTTCTATGTTTACGGTGTCAAACAATTGTTTCACTTATTGAGAGTTTCTATGATTACGGTGTCAAACAATTGTTTCACTTATTGAGAGTTTCTATGTTTACGGTGTCAAACAATTGTTTCAATTATTGAGAGTTTCTATGATTACGATGTCAAACAATTGTTTCAAACAAGAGTTTCCCATGTTTACGGTGTCAAACTTATTGAGAGTTTCTATGATTACGGTGTCAAACAATTGTTTCAATTATTGAGAGTTTCAAACAATTGTTTCAATTATTGAGAGTTTCTATGATTACGGTGTCAAACAATTGTTTCAATTATTGAGAGTTTCTATGATTACGATGTCAAACAATTGTTTCAATTATTGAGAGTTTCTATGTTTACGGTGTCAAACAATTGTTTCACTTATTGAGAGTTTCAAACAATGTTTCACTATTGGAGTTTCTATGTGTCAAACAATTGTTTCACTTATTGAGAGTTTCTATGATTACGGTGTCAAACAATTGTTTCACTTATTGAGAGTTTCTATGTTTACGGTGTCAAACAATTGTTTCACTTATTGAGAGTTTCTATGATTACGGTGTCAAACAATTGTTTCAATTATTGAGAGTTTCTATGATTACGATGTCAAACAATTGTTTCAATTATTGAGAATTTCTATGATTACGATGTCAAACAATTGTTTCAATTATTGAGAGTTTCCATGTTTACGGTGTCAAACAACTATTTCACTTATTGAGAGTTTTTATGATTACGGTGTCAAACAATTGTTTCAATTATTGAGAATTTCTTTGTTTACGGTGTCAACTCACAATGTGTATTGTGTGTCGTATATACCCACACCCCCCCCCCCCCTTGTTTATATGGTCCGTCTTTAACCCCTCCTATTTTCATGTTTTGCAGAGACAACGAGTTTTATATGAGAGAGAGATTATGAGAGAGACAACGAGAGAGAGAGAGAGAGAGAGAGAGAGAGAGCAGAAAATGAGAAAGGTCCTAATTTGGTGAAAAGGCCTTATTCCTGCTTCATCTTTTCATAATGCACCCTTCCCTGGTCTCTCTCTCTCTTTCTCTCTCTCTCTCTCTCTCTCTCTCACACACACACACACACACACACGCGCATGCGCACATACACACGCACACATACACACACACACACACACAAACACAATACACGCAGGAAAATATAAATTGCTTAGAGCTGCTTCTCCGCATCTTTTGTTATAAAGAGTCAGTCTCTGTCTCTCTGTCTCTCTCTCTCTCTCTCTCTCTCTCTCTCTCTCTCTCTCTCTCTCCTCTCTCTCTCTCCAACTGCAGCTAACGTTTCACATCTAATGTGCTTTGTTGAACAGCTGCAGAAATAAAACACACTGCAGACGTGTTGCTACTGAGAAGAAAATGGTTATGGGTAGGCTCTGCTCCCTACATATTATTTGGCAAACCCCCCTCCCCCCATACACAAACAAAGGCAGACACACACACACACACACACACATAAAAAGTTAGGTAGGAGCTCAGTGTGGCCTAGGAAACCAGATTACGGTCTCCATGTAGGGAAGATACTTAGTTCTGTCTGGATCTGAACCCAAGAGCTTCAGATCTCCACGCGAGAGTCCAGCCACTACACCACATCGGCTCTCTGGGCACTGTTGGGGTGACCACTAAACATTCCTCATTACTGTATTCATTTAAGATGATTGACAATTTAAATAAAGTAGATCCCCAACGGAGTTCATGCGTTCAGGAGGGGATCATTCGCAGCTACATACAGGCGTCGCTATTAAAAGCTAACTACAAATGAAACATGAAAACTTTGCAAGTTGACGCAACAGCGTTATAAGAAATGGCGCCTGTCAACAAGATTTGTTTATGTCAACATATTTGGGAAAGCGTGAAGTGCATGTTAGCCTTACAGAATGCAGTTATAATAATCGAGCACACGTCGTTTCAGTAACAAGAATTGATCAGCATACAACAAAAGGAAGACGATACAAAGTAACAAAATGGCGTTGAGGTAATTATATAACGACACTGAAATATAATGTACACAAATGATAATAGATAATAAATAACAATAACAACAATATGATGTTATAAATATACCTTCTTGCTTTCATGGACGGTTCGGAATTTAGAATTGTCACTCTGCATGTACGTTTATCTTAAAGGAACTACAAACAAGTGCGAGAATTCAAACATCTAGGAAACATGCTTATGGAGGATGGCAAACTCGAAAGAGAGATAGAAGCTACAGTACAGAAGTCACCTACCAGTTAGCCCCACTGCTTAGACACCCAAATGTCACCCTTCCAGCAAAACAGCAAATAATTGATAGCATCGTTATCCCTACTTTATGTTATCAGTGCCAAAACTGGATAATAAATAGGGCACTAGAACCGAAAATAACTGTATTTGAAATACGCTGTCTCCGCAAGGTCACTAACAACACTATCCGAGACAAGGTTGCGAATTAAAAAGGAAGTTGCAATAAGACCATTTCTGGATTATATTGACAGACAAAGAATGAAATGGTTTGGCCATCTGGTGAAAATGCAACCAGACCAGACTGCATCTGAGGCATTTTACAGTAGAACATATGGGAGGGATGCGAGAGGAAGACCAAGAAAGATATGGATAAATGATGTAGATGTAACCTGCACCTGCAAAAAAAATGAACAAATTCAGCACTCCAACCACCCGAGGGGCGCAAGACAAATACAAAAAACCAAGACACTGGGTTACAGCCTGGTAACAGTGAGACGACAAAAGAAGAAAGAAGAAAGAAGAAGACGGCAAAACCAAATTGCATTTTCTGTCTCCGTTATCCTCTGTTTCTAATAGCTACAATCTGTCCGACTGTAACAGTAACAAATATAAAACCAAAAGCAAAACAGAACCAGTCAGTTTAATAATATCATAATCACAAACGCATTATCTTTTATCAATATACCATTATCTTTACCTTACGATCACATCGATTCTCTATCACGTTATAATGCTTTATTGCAGTTTTTTTTTTTTGGGGGGGGGGGGGGGCGGCTATATAGTATTATTAGGGTTTATATTATGTTGCATTCGTTGGTATTTATAGCAACGTGCTTTTTTATCCTTTGCTATCTGCTCTTGCTACCACTGCGAAGCAGAATTCTCCAAGAGTTTGTTAATTTATGCACGGCTGAAAATCTGACATAAATAATTGTAAGGAGTTTTCTTGAAATCCTTATTCCTTGATGATGATCCGGCGATGTCTGAAGCATACTTTGTTGTAAACGTTTTGGTATTACCGTTTTTTTTTGGTAAACGTAGCGTTCCGAGAAAGAGAGAGAGAGAGAGAGAGAGAGAGAGAGAGAGAGAGAGAGAGAGAGAGATGGTGAGGGAGGAGGGAGAGATAATCACGCATGGGCAACACAGGGTCTCAAAAGAACTTCCCAAGCATTACACCGTGCTAAGACACCATAGTGCATTATAACACTATCGTAAGGCAGGTGTGGTTAGGGCCCTTTGGCAACAAGCAACGGAATCAGAAGCCAAACAAGATTAATACTGCACGGAGTGAATTAGGCACCTGGATGTTACCTAAGGGTATGGCTGGCTCACTACACTCAGAGGAAAGGTAAGACCAGTATAACCAGATTACGACCAGTACCAGTACTATTTGAACTCTGCGCTGGCTGCTGAAGATGAGGACGAAGCACACATGATAATGCCCTGAGTGCTGTGATGTCAATACTTGACTCAGCTGAAGTCAACATTTTCGTGTGAAAAGACAAAAAGACACAACCGATTAGCGTTATCATTTCATTTATAGCATAGCAGAAACCCAGTTACATTTATATTACTTTGTTGCAGGTGTGCCATACTGACGCCAAGAAATAATGCCGTGACCATATTGACTTGACGTGAGACATCATGAGCTACACGGTCAGAAACCACACAAGAGGCACTACGGTGTCCAGTATGGTCATTTACCACACTAACCCAGGCAGCATCCACAACCACACGTTGGTCTCTGTAGACCTGGACGTTGACAACGCCACTGCCACCCCGCAAGCAATAGGATACTCAAACGCCGCTGCAGCTTCCATCGCCATCATCCTAGGCATCATTGTGGTTCTGACCATCACTGGCAACTTGCTGGTAATTGCCTCAGTGGCCATCAATCCACATTTAAGAACAACCACATACTATTTCATCGCTAACTTGGCTGTAGCAGATCTTCTTCTGGGGTTTGCAGTTCTGCCGTTTTCTGCTACCTTGGAGGTGCTTCAGTACTGGGTTTTCGGACGGATTTTCTGTCATATCTGGGCGGCGTTTGACGTGCTATGCTGCACAGCTTCCATTCTTAGTCTTTGTGTAATCAGTATAGACAGGTAAGACTACTTTGATTTATCTCTTTCAGTTACAAGTTCTCATTTATTTGTTTCGTTTAAATCAGTTCGCTATGTATACGTGCCTGAAGACACACAGCGATATGTGTCATGAAAAAAATACTGTTCAATAGACTGTTTATGTCTTCTTTGTTCAAAATTCAAACGTAAGTTATAAATGTTTTGGGTCACAAGTTTGAAAAGCAGGTTTTATGACACTGCTTGTTAGAAACAATCTTTCTTTCCTATCATCTCGCGGACACCATGGTTGTGTAGCCCAGGTACTTGATTTTTCTGCATTTGTCTACGACTTTATAGTTTTGCAGGGTTCAGATGTACCATTTATCCATCTCTTTATCAGTCTTCCCTTGCCTCATATATTTGATTTTCGACAACACCATTAGTTTTTTAGTTCATTAGTTAGTTAATCGACTGATCATCCTCGTTGCAAACTGGATAAGTCCACAAGTGCTCGTGTCCGATCTTCAGTTTCTCCTTCATGGTGTGTAGTGACTTATAACAACAGTTCTATGTTGGTTTACTATTCTTCTTTGACTATCCGTATAGTGTTCATGTCTGGCATCGTCTGTTTGACATGAAGTGTTGTCACGGTTACCGTTTCGCTGTTGTCGTCTGAATGACCCACTCACGCTGCCCTACTGAGAGCATCGACAACATCGGCCAGGTCCGTTGCTCATCCAGTGCCTACCGTGGTCCTGCCAGCAATCCAATCCGCTAAATCATTCCCGATTACACTAGAGTATCCCGGCATAAGAATGAAGCTGATTCCTGTCTGGCGGAATTTCGTTGGAGACTCCAACTACTGTCTTAGAACACACCCTGTCTTGACCTTCTTACGCATGATCGTAGAATTTATGCCAACATTATTGCCATGTAGGTAGGTAGTTGTACCCCACAAGGACATCACACAAGCAATAAACACCCGTTGACACAAAGTGCCACCATGCGAATGCGAAACACCCGTGAAGAGGTCCCAGAAACCCCTTTCATCTGTTAGGCTATATCTATGGCTAGGCCATATCTTTGTCCATGCTATATTCAGGGTCCATGGCAGAAGTCAGGGTGGGGCCTCGAATAACGAAAAAGTACATCCCACTCGGGAATGACTGATATAACTATTTTTGCCAGGAGCCGGTTTCCATCAACAAAATACACATACAAGACATCTTTTAGCAGATACGAAATGATTTCTTCCACTAGATCCCAAATATATCCATATATTTCTTGGATATTTTTGGCCAAGGCCTTGTAGGGCATATTTCAAATATGAGAATAATGCTGATGCTAATATCACAATCTAGTCATTCTTTATGATCAAAAGATAAACTGTGACAAATCTTAGTAAGCCAAGGGCGAAATTAGCGGGTTGATCCCCTTAACCACTTCTTGTCAGCCACGAAGAGACACACACAAACAAGGCTGCATCTCAACAGTGCTATTGACTTAGGTTAAAAGGACATTTTTGTCACTGTCTAAATACTAGACCAATGACAGCCCGACTGGTCTTATCTTCAAACAGTCGAGTCATTCACAGATTGCGAGTTCACCCCACGGGGTCAATCCAATATTTCTTCATCTAATATCTGTCTCTTTTCCTCTTCTTTGGCATTTACATATATGTGTACATTAGATATACTTGCACTGTATGTATGCGCTCATCTCCGTTCATATCCTGGTATTTTTTTGGGGGGGGGGGGGGGGGAGGGGGATCCAGTTTTAGACTAGTTAAATGTTTTCTGTTCTCAGTCTCATTTACAATTATTTTCATTTTTTTTCTGCATTGAGAGCCGTTTAAATTATTTAGATATTTAGTCATTTTAGTCAGTGAAATCTTTTCACAGTGTCTATAACTCTATTCAAGTAGAAAAAAAAAAGACAAACCAATTTCACAGTTTTTTTGCATGTATACTTCGTACCTGACGATATACTCAAGCATGGACGATGATCAAGCAATTTATCATCATCATGTAGCAGGTCCTTTGCAGAGCGTCGCTCTCATCGCTGTCTGCCTGAAAGAAACTCGGTCTCTCGCCAACTCTCCCGCCTCGTACACTTTCATCTCCAAGGAGTCACATATATCCGGAGTCCATCTTCGTGCTGGTCAGCCCCTGCCCCACCCCCCCCCCCCCCTCCCACCCCTTCCTTTCCTGGTAACGCTTGATATGGCTATAAATAGCTTAATTTATGTTCACATCTTGTAAAATGTCAGTATTCTTTTCCTTAGTGCGTTGTATTCTAGGAATCTCTCTATAGCTTTTCAGATCACAGGCATCTATTTATTTCATAGGGACTAGGACACAGTCCACGACTCACATCCATAAGTTGTTACAGCGAAGATGCACGATCTAAAAAATTTCACTCTTTTTCCTGTGTGTTTAACCACAGGATTGTAATGCTGTCTAATCTTTCCGTTGCTATGACCACCGATCCCCCTTCTGACTTCTGTTGAGCAGTTTCCGTTGCTGTTTATTATGGAGCCCAGATAGTGAAAGTTTTGACATTTTCATTTTTTCCCGTCATTTTTTTCGGGGGGGGGGGGGGGGGGGGGGCGACAACCAGTTTTATGTGTAAACATTTTGTGTGTGCATTCGATAGGTCACACAGAGAGAAAACCTGCTAACGATATAGATCATAACAACGGGAAAGTTGCCGGGAGAAAAGGCGGTGTGACATCAAGGAAGATGACGTGAGACAGTTTGGCATCATGGAAATGAAGATCATCTGTATCAGCACTGACTGAAAGTACATGAGACAGAAGAATTTGAATATACATGATTATACATGATTACAACCACCACAAGCCATGGACTAAAAAAAGAAGCAGAAGTTACAATGCACATCTAATAAAAACGGGCTGCAGGACATCCTACGTCTGACTATATTACACGATCGAGACAGGGGAAGAGAGAGAGAGATGATGATGGCACAAGTAATTTATTCTCTGTTTGGATAAAATATTAAGTAATAAAGTACCAAGAATTGAAGTATCTATGAAGCACATAAACAGAAGAAGGCAGACTCTATAGAGAGATAAAAGCCAGAGTACGGAAGGCAAATGCTGTCAGGTACCACCTAGCTCCCTTTCTTAGACAACCAGATGTCTCCTTTCCAGCAAAACAGCAAATAATTCATAGCCTCTGTTTCTGTATTTGATGCTGTCTGTGCCAAACATGGACAGTGGGCTAGCACAGAGCAAAGCTTTCCTGCCAAAGGCGCTATCTGCGTAAGGTAAATAACAATACACGAAGAGACAGGATTACGAAAACCAGAATGAGAGAGAAAGTTGGATTAAGACATGTCTGAATTATGTTGACAGAATGGTTTGGTCATCTTGTGAGAATGCAGCTGTACAAAACTGCTAATGACATATTTTAGAGCAGAACTTGAGGCAGGAATAGTAGTGGTAGTAGATTTTTGACCCCACTAGGACATCACACAAGCAATAAACACCTTGATGACACAAAGTACCACCATATGGATGAGGATCACCCGTGGAGAGGTCCGAGAAACCGCGTTCAGCCATTAGACCATATTTATGGTCGGGCTATATTGCGGCCCAGGGCAAGAACCAGGGTGGGGCTTCAAATAGATAAAAATTGCATCTCGCAAGATGATGACAGGATATATGTGGCAAGGGAAGACTAATAAAGAGATGGATAAATGGTACATCTGAAGCCTGCAAAACTATGAAGTCGTAGACAAATGCAGAAAAATCAAGTACCTGGGCTACACAACCTGGTGTCCGCGAGATGATAGGAAAGAAAAACATTGTTTCTAGACAAGCAATGTCATTAAACCTCCTTTCTCAAACATGTGACCTTAAAAGATTTATAACTTACGAAAGATTAAGTAGTTTCGACAGGGAGTTGTGGCTGACAAACCCTACTGAGTTTCATACCTTCTGCTGCAGTCTTCGAGACTTACCAATCTCAAGCCTTTCAAGCAAGATCTGTACCATGTACAGCAGCTATCCTTTGAAATCATTATTGGTACCATTATCTTTGTAATATCATTACTTTTTTTTTTTTTTTTACATATTTTCTGAGAATACAATTTGTAGATTGGGGATAATCTAACTTATTAGCTATTTTATTCAAATTCAGTTGTTATACTGATTTATCAAGGTGAAGGTATCGTAATTTCATTCAAATGTTCCACTGTGTAATTAATTTCCTATGATATCCTCAGACTGGGAAAGTTTCATCTCATTTTAAGAATGACAATCCAAACACAAACTCATAGGTGTACTACTCTCATAAAAACCAACTATGCATCCTTTTCTTTATCCTTTCTTCCTAATCCTTTCTTTCCCACGATTCTGGTCATCTAGTTAGAATGCAACCAGAACAACTACCAACGCAGGAGCTGCATATGAACTGATCTGAAATGACAGTAAGAGGTAGCCCTAGGAGACTATGGACTGATGCTATCGAAGAGCTTCTATATCGACATGGAATGACAATAGCCATTCATGCCTATTAGTCAATGGATCGCAAACTGTTCCTCCCCATGTTCGCACGGCACCGACGACCCTTCTGACCATGTGCCACAGAAACGTATGTGTGTATTTCTGCAATTGTAACTTCTGAATTCATTTCAGAGTCTTTGGCTTAGGCGTTGCGAACGCGCTTCCTAATGCCGGGGTGCCGGGCTCGATCCCAGCTGCAGGACTATTTGTCTTGCCTTTGTTTCGACAATAGTACAGAGAGCGGACCGTTCTTTAGCAATAGCTAACTACTGAAAGTAAAATTTGTCTAGAAAAACCACGACAGCCAAACAATGCTGGGGTTGGTTCCGCATTGTCCTTAAAGGTATACGCAACTAACCGTTCATGCGGCCCCAAATCCTCAGTTTTAAAGATGCCCCACCTACACCGCAAAAGTGGTGATTACAGACAGTAATGGCCGATAGCAGAACTGCTATATTTATTTTGATGGTTTTACGTTAAATGGAATACGAAATCTGTATTCTTCTTCTTGCAGGTACATTGGAGTGACAAGACCTCTCCGGCATTGCCGAATCATGAACCAGACACGGACTATGTATGTTATCATCTCCGTCTGGCTTGTATCTGTAGCAATCTCCGTGGCTCCTTTAACTGGCTGGAAGGAAGACGACAATCCGGATCCAAAAGTGTGCACAGTGACCACACACCCAAGCTACGTCCTTTTCTCTGTTTCCGGTTCCTTTTACATTCCGTGTCTTGTTATCTTAATCGTGTACTTCAGAATCTACCAGGAAACTGTCAAGTACACCAAATGTTTAATGTCTGGAGCAAAAACTTTTAAAGTCGACGAAGACAATGTTGTGTCCCTGAGAATACACTTAGGAAGGCACGTAACGCAAGAGTTTCGAAGGGACAACTATCATAACAACGGAACCGAGAATCGCTCTGAGGAATATAATACATCACCGAACGGCCACAAGAACAGTAAAAGAAACAGCCGGTTAACTTTTTCCAACAAAGTTGCCAAGTTTAAGCGGGAAAAGAAAGCCGCCAAAATCCTAGGGATTGTGGTCGGTGTATTCATTACGTGCTGGCTCCCGTTCTTTGTTGTGCTACCAGTGGGTAAGTTAACTTATATAGTCTATTCTTCACCGTGTAACTGATTTGAGTAGAACACTTTAGGGTAAGTAAAAAGTAAAGGACCCTTTTCCACACCTTTAGGCGTACTAGGCATATAGGCCTAGAGCTGTATTTTAGTGACCTAGGGTGGGTGATGTGGTCAGCATCACGCCGGCCGTCTTTACTTTCATGACTGTACCTGAAACCTACTCAAGGCCGGGTCGAAGTGACAGCCAATGTCATTATTGAAAAACGTCCAGCTACGTCGAAACCCGAACCCACGACCTTCCGATCAGCAGGCGAGCATCTAGTCGCTACACCACGGCGGTTCTCAAAAACTCCCCGGTGAACCCTCGCTAAATTAGTACCCGTTTATTCCCGGAAAGTAAAGGCGGCCGACGTGGTTTTAGCCACTTCACTCTTGGAGTGACGTTAGTTTATGGCTCTGTGCAATACGGGTCTATGCCCCGGCAGCTATTCGGATGGTATCTCATCTCTGTTGTTATGATTTTAAACCTATTAGTTTTAGTATAAGTCTGTGTGGATACTGGCAGTATAAAGTTGGCTAAAAATATTTCTAGTTTGATTTTTCGGTGTAAACAAAGATATTTTATGTGTCAGAAGTGGTTTAAGTTGTCCCAATATTTAGTTTGTTTAGCACATCGAATTGTTTGCTCCACCGATTTTTCCTTCTGATGTGAAAATGTATGCTGAATATTTAAATGTCCTTTACTTTAACTGATGTGATTTCTGGGTGTCTACTTATCATCTTGTCTAAGCTAATGCTCACATTGCATTCTTTTCACTTGGCTTTGATTTGACTGAGATGGGTCTGGAGACTCTTTTCTGTTTCTGCTATTATCCCTTAGTCATCTACAAACAACCATTCCAAAATATCATCAGATATCTTCACTCTCAGCTTCTTTGACCATACTGTCCATGTACGTTATTTAGTTACATGTAAGAAAATATAACAACAACTGAAAGGGTTAAAAGCAACAATGTAGGAAGTAGACAATGGCTTCGTCATGAGAATACCTCTCTTTGAGCAACTGGTTAGTTTTATTGAGATAGCATTACCAACCAAAGCCTAGCACCAGCCAGTTCTCGTGTATTGCAGGAATCATGACCTAGGTTATCTGCGTATCCTTTACAGGATGTTGCAGAACCAACTCAAGCAATTTCTTTAACTGTTATGGTTTTTCCAGGCACATTTTACGTTCAATAGTTTATGACCTAGGTAAATCCTAAAATTCCGCCTGCAGATGCTAACTCTAGTATCAGTTTTGCTCTCCAGGCGAAGTTTTCAGCTAGGAGGTGGGAATGAGGTCTCCGAGAACATCCCCTGGGACATGGAAGTTTGCTGCTTAACGGGGAAAGGTTCTGCACAAATCTCGCTCCGACATATGCATGGTCTGTTTATAACAGACGACATAAAATTCAGCGCCCCTGAAAGAGTTCAAACTCAACCTTCTAGCAAATACACAAACAACAACAGCAATGTAGAGGATATTACTGTTTGTTAAACGAGAATGACAAGCATACACTGTGTCAACATAGCGACAGACAAAGGTAGATTAAGGACAATCTTAGATTAAGGTTTACTATTGTCAACAAACAAGCAAAGCAGGTTTGAGCCAATACTTCAAGCAAAACAAGTCTTTACCTAGACACATTTATCGGATTAATATCTTTTGATGTTTTTTAAAAATACGTTTAAACACAAGCTTATAATGTAAATTTACTTGATCTGCTTGAATTAAAATGATATATCTATTGGGACAATTATTAAAGCTATGGAAAAGAGACATGCAGTGGGATTATCCTGTAATAATTTTCTTTCTTCTTCACATTTATCGACTGTAAACTCTAGAGGAAGGCTCTGGTTGTTAGCCTTTTTCTGAACTTTTTGTCTTCTTCCAGAGCGTCAGTTTTGCGTGCACATCACTCTCACAGATCTGTCTTCTTTTCTTTAATAAAATTTGTTTTTGTTAATCACCTCGGTTTCACTGACAAATTGTTTGAGATTATTTTGTTTTTTAGAATTCTTTTTCTTATTCTTTTTTTTTCTTTCTCCTTCTTCTACAGTTTCCTCTCACCCTCCTTCTCTTTCTCATCTTACTTCTCACTCTTCCCTCCTTTTTCTATCCTAACTGCACAGAAAATTGTATTATGGTTGACACATTTAGATGTGGAGATGTATTTGTTGCAATTGTAGATGTACCTAACTGGTTGAAGATATTTAACCACTCATTGAAAAATGGTTTTAATCATTCCGAATCTGACGATCCCAAAAGTTGATAATTGTTACTGGATGAACAAATTGTAACCCATCAGAGTGCCAATACTCGTCTTTCTCTCAGAGCAGCTGTTCAACAAGAAAAGAATGTCTATTTTTGAGAAGGTTTTTTTTTTTGAAATGTCAATACTGAATTGTGATTACAATGTTAACTTCAGTTTCGGAGAGTAACATTAGTTAAAAGTTGATTTTTCTCTAACATTTTTAAGATCTCACGTCTAATGACATCTATATCAAAATCGTCAACTTTTCTTTTCCTTCCTTGCTTGACATGACTGAAGTCTGTATCTTGTATAATCCAACCGTTAAATGATGCTCTATCCAGACCAAGCGCCAATCGTGTTCGTTTCTCTGGGTCATGAATATCACAATATAAATAACCCATCTTAGATTCCCTGAGGAAGTGCTGGTGCCGTAAAAACGATAACATAATGCATAGTTATTAATGTGCATCTCAAATTCATTTCGAAAATTGTTGTCAGCTTTTATAAGCTAGCTATATAACACAATAACTCATCTCTAATTTGTGGATGCGCCTTTGACTAAACAACCTTGACGGACGTTTTATTTTGACGCAAGGTCAATAAGAGTGGGATTTTGCATGAGAAAATCATGAAATTGTCTGGGTTCATTATAAACCCCTGTTAAACCAGTCATAGTGTGCATTACTTCCCGAAACTTATAAAAGTAAACCTTCCAAAAGTCTTCCAAGACGGTTTTATGATAAAAATATATATCGTAAAGAAGAGTAACACTACATATGATATTCTTCTTTACAGAAAAAATATTTCCCTAACGTAATGGATATTCAAAGGTGCCTGCAAACAAATTATTCCGATATACTAGTCAGTTTTCGAGAAAATGGCGTGTATGTGAGTTTATCTGTTGTTGAACGGACTACAGTAATTTTCGTTTAGCAGTTTTTAGTGATGTACATTTAGTAGTTTGTACTAATTTACATGAGTAATTTGTAGAAATTACATTTAGTAGTTTGTACTAATTTACGTTCAGTTAGTTTATAGTGACTTATATTTAATAGTTTGTGTGAATTTACTTTAAGTAGTTTGCCACTGTCTTACTGAAAAGTTCAATGATGCTACTGCTTACAAAATCAGTGCAAACCAGTCGGCGGCCTATCTTTTGCAGCTGAAAACCTTAAGCCACAGACGCCAACATAAGGAAAAGACACATTTTCAATATTACGTTTATTACCATTTTAAATATTGAGAGTATTACCATTCTAATTATACGGTGTATTATCTCATCTATTCAAATATTTCACCTATTGTGATTGATAAGGTCAATAACTTGTGAAATGTGTCAAAATAATTAATCTGCATTCTGTTATGCTAAATTTAATTTTAGAGAGAACAATCATGTGCCGCAGGCGAACGTCTTTTAAGAGGTAAAAGACTAGGAAGCGCAATAATAATTGCGGAACTCGATGAGGTGCAGAGATATTAGGATTCCTATTGGGGCTTTGTGCAAACATCATGTTCCATGATAACTTGGTTGTCTAATTCCCTTCTGGGTATAATCATCCGTCGCTGTCTCATTCTCCACTTTCTCACTGGAGATAAAACTCATTATCTCATTAGACCCCTTACCAGGGTTGCGTAATACTTCCGTTTTCTATTTTGTAAACATTGTATCTGAACTAATTATCTGCACAAGTTTTTTTTTTTTTTTAAATATTATTTTTGCACTGTGCCCTTACGTCATATTTCTAGGATCAAAGCCTTCTAACTAACTAATTGTGCTATTTAATATGGTAACATTATTTCAGTTTGAGACATAACCTCTCTATACCCTCTTCTCTATTCACATGTTTGTTTTGTAGAAAGACAATGCTTGTCTTTCCCTCATCTGCTGTATTCTAAGAATTAGTTTGTTACTTGTCTTTTCCCTCATCTACTGTATTCTAGTAATTTGTCTGCAACTTGTCTTTCCCTCGTCTGTTGTATTCTAAGAATTTGTTACTTGTCTTTCCCTCATCTGCTGTATTCTAAAAATGTGTCTGTTAATTGTCTTTTCCCTCATCTACTGTATTCTAAGCATGCGTCTGTTACTTGTCTTTTCCCTCATCTACTTTATTCTAAGAATGTGTCTGTTACTTGTCTTTTCCCTCGTCTGCTGTATTCTAAGAATGTGTCTGTTAATTGTCTTTTCCCTCATCTACTGTATTCTAAGCATGCGTCTGTTACTTGTCTTTTCCCTCATCTACTTTATTCTAAGAATGTGTCTGTTAATTGTCTTTTCCCTCATCTACTGTATTCTAAGCATGCGTCTGTTACTTGTCTTTTCCCTCATCTACTTTATTCTAAGAATGTGTCTGTTACTTGTCTTTTCCCTCGTCTGCTGTATTCTAAGAATGTGTCTGTTACTGGTCTTTTCCCTCATCTACTGTATTCTAAAAATGTGTCTGTTAATTGTCTTTTCCCTCATCTACTGTATTCTAAGAATGTGTCTGTTACTTGTCTTTTCCCTCATCTGCTGTAGTCTAAGAATGTGTCTGTTACTTGTCTTTTCCCTCATCTACTGTATTCTAAGAATGTGTCTGTTACTTGTCTTTTCCCTCATCTACTGTATTCTAAGAATGTGTCTGTTACTGGTCTTTTCCATCATCTGCTGTATTCTAAGAATTTGTTACTTGTCTTTCCCTCATCTGCTGTATTCTAATAATGAGTCTGTAAATTGTCTTTCC